GGATACAAAATCCATGAAAGAGAGGTATTAGCCCAGTGGGTGGGATATTAAGGTGGGAATGTGGGAGCCAGGTTCTCTGTGAGAGGGATAATCACTGCCAGTGCCTGGTAAGAGTCTTTCCACTGCACAGAAAGGGGGTAATGATGCTTAATCCACTTGCAAAGTCCAACAAGAGCTGTAGGTGCAGAAATCTTCTATGAAGTGATTGTTAAACGTGATTGTGAATGGGAGGGCACCGAAACTGTCCTAGTTCTGGGAATAAAATCTGCATTTGCTCTGTAGGTCACTTTGGGACGTCCTGGGTGAAGCATTACTGCACATACCAGAGGGAGTCGAAGCGGATCACGATGGTGCCGTTTGACCAGAAATCCGGAGGGAAAGGGGTGAGTGCTGGGGGGCAGCAGGGCTGTGTCCCGGGGCACGGTGGAGCTGCACGCTCTCCTGGGGCTCACACTGAAGGTTTTCAGCAAGGTGTCACAAAGGCAGGTAAAGTGGGTCAGATTCGTTCCATGCTGAGCGGGTGCCATGTGGGGAATTAACGCTGCACCTTGTTGAAACCCAAACCCAAACAAACCCTGTTCCCTAGTCCCTAGTTCCTGTTCCACGGCTCAGAGAAGAGAACCTCTTCCTTATTTTGCACCTTCCCCGATGCCTGTGACTTGGCCAATGAAGTCGTTTTGTTTTGGACGGAACCAATGAAGTTGTTTTGTTTTAGACGGAGCCACAGGAGTTCCCCTCAGCTCCAAGGGGGTGAAGAGGAGCAAGGGGAGCAGTGATGTGAGGGGCCAGAGCACGCCATGTGCCCCGCTGCTCCCAGAGCAGTGCAATCCAGGCTGTGGCCAGGGCTGGCTTTGCTCCCCTGCACAGCACAACAGCCCCCCCAGAGTGTCCCCACCTGGGGCCATTTGCAAACATCAACCCCTTGCAGAGGAGCACCTCAGGCAGAGGCTGCCGCACAGCTTCCTGCTGGCAAAGGGACCTGGCCAAGGGGAGGGCAGCTTCCAAAATTCATTTCCTCTTGCCTCGGAGCATCTTCGTTATAACTCAGCATTCAGATACCCCCAGCCCTGTAATCCCCACTGGCTGTGCTATATTTTGTGTGGTCTCTTCCCATTTCACTGCTTCTCTTGCACCCTGGGGTGCTGCCAGCACAACACTGAGACATTGCGGTGCTGGAGCAGGGCCAGAGAAGGGCACCAGAGCTGGAGCAGAGCCTGGAGCACAAGTGTGATGGGGAAGGGCTGAGGGACCTGGGGGGTTTAGTGTGGAGAAGAGAAGGCTCAGGGGGGACCTTCTCGCTCTCTGCAACTGCCTGACAGGAGGATGGAGCCAGGAGGGGGCTGGTCTCTGCTCCCAAGGAACAAGGGGTGGGACAAGAGGAAATGGCTTCAAGCTGCACCAGGGGAGGTTTAGATGGAGCTGAGGAACAATTCCTTCCCCAAAGGGTGCTCAGGCATTGGAACAGGCTGCCCAGGGCAGGGCTGGAGTCACCGTCCCTGAGGGTGTTTAAAAGGTTTGTGCATGTGGCACTTGGGGACGTAGGTTAGTGGTGAACTTGGCAGCGCCAGGTTAATGGTTGGACTTGATGATCTTCAAGGTAATTTCCACCCTAAATGATTCTGTGATTCTCAGTATGTTTCCTGGAAAAGCGGTGATGTGAGGGAACAAGGTGGTCAGCCAAGGTGTCACCAGGAGCAGCACCGAGAGCACACAAAAGGGGTTATCTCCAGGAACTCGCTCAGAATTCATTTGCTATTGAGTCATTGGTGCATTTTAAACATTGCAGGAGAAATGCGTGTGCTGGCAGGGCCTGAGCAGGGATTTCCTCCAGCAGAGGACAGCAGTGCACACAGATCCTGCCGGATCGCCGGCCGCGGGTGGAAATCCAGCACGGCTTGGATGCAGATGCCTGGATGGGAGAATGGTTTTGTTGTTGCGTTGCTATTTAATAAACATTTTAAGGCATGTTAGGAGTTCTCATTTGCAGAACGCTGCCAAAAATGCAGCCTGGAGTGAAAGCTGACAGCCAGGTCTATGAGGCATTGCTCAGCAATGGAAAATAAAGCTGACTTTGCTGCCCAAAAGTTGTGGTTCAACGTTCCCTGCCTGCCCAAATGTGCATCACGTGGTGCTCGATACACAAATGTGATTGTGCGTGCCCTGAAAGGAAGGCTCATGATGATAGATCTTGGACTAAACATGTTTTCAAGAGTGAAATGACAAGTCCTCGTGTCAGATACTAATCTGTATTTCTAACAGGCTGATATTGCCAACACCCCCCAGGTGTGGCCGTGGTCATTGAAAGCTCAGCGGGTGCTGGGGACAGGCACACGGGTGGCTGGTTGTTCTCTGCCTGAGCCGGGATTTTGTCTCTTCTCAGGGAGAAGATGAAGCTGTTATCCTCAAATCCTGCACGCGGCGGAAAACAGACTCCATCGAGAAGAGGTTTTGCTTTGATGTGGAAGCTGTGGATCGGTGAGTGCCAAGGGTGTCACAGCCCAGGTCACCAAAGGGATGTGCACGCCAGGGGTTAGGATGCACTCCTCTGTGCTTGGCTTTTCCTGAGTTCTTGTGCAGTTCCCATGTTTCTCTTCTCCTTTAGTCATACCCTCGTGAATGGAAAGCATTAGTCCATGGAAACACTTGCAGCCAGGTACTCTCAGCACACAGTGAGTGCTCTGGTTTACAAGGTGCCGAGTTTACTCAAGTCTCTCTAACGTTAATGGTTTTTAGCACTTGGGCAGTCTCTGGCCACGTAAAGTAAATGGTTGCAAGTATGGAAAAGATGCTCCGTGGGTGTTTTGGCTGGGATATGACACCTCTTTCCAGCGTATGTGTTGGAATAGCTTCAGCTTTTGTGCTGGAGAGTGGCTGTGGCTGGTTCGCTGTGGCTGGTGGATATTGGAAGTCTGGATTGTGCCTCCGGGCACTTTAAATTCATTTCTTTTTCCTGAAGGAATAAAATGCTTTCCGATGGGATTTATCACGGAGCAGCTGAATCAGATGTATGTGCGGATTCAATCTATAGCGCCTAGGAATGAGAGCTGTTATCATATCTAATTAGCATCACAAACAGCTTAGATATATAAACAGGAAAACCAGGCTGGGGTTGCTGTTCCAAGCGGATTAGTCACTGCCTCCTATCTTCCTCACTGCAGGAAGTTTACGTGGTTTACAACAGCCCACTCCAAAGTCACTGAACGTCTGTGCCCTCCCAGTTGTGTGCCTGGTTGTGGTCCAGCCATCCTTCTGCTGCTGGCTCCTGTGGGAATGCCCAGAAGGTCTTGGGAAAACCCAAGTTTATTGAATCCCGGGGTAGTGAATAACGCTGGAATAACCCGGGGTTGTTCCACCCTGTGCTGCTGCAGCGACCCAGTGCCAGTCCAGGGCCGGGAGGGGCTGGGGTGATGGAGCTCTGCCTGTGTTGGCTGAGGGATGAGATAACCGTGGGGCTGCCTCCCACTCTCTG